TTCTTTAACCTTTATTTCAAACAACAGAAGCTAACACCAGTAATAGATTGTTATTTAAGATGATCATTTACATATAATGTATACTATAGCAGATTACACACATTTGAGTTTGTTTACATTTAATTTGGTTACGCATTCTCATTAATTTATTTAACAGAGTCACACGTACAAAAACAACAACAAAAACTTATTTATACCATTGTACTTCTATTATTGTTGCGCCTGTATGAACACGTATGCTTGAGCATCGCTTACCGACTAAGCACATATTCATTCTACTAGCTTTAGTGTTAGTCGCTTAAATGATCCGATGACTTATTCATTTTTTATATGTACATATGTGTACATTTTAATAATGTTCATTGACTCACTAGCTCACTTGTTCGCCTGCTCTTCGGCACTCGCATATCATTCTTGATTCGCGTGCCTGTGGTTTTGGTGATCTGTGTGTGGTGCAACAATAAACGTAATGAATGCTTCATATTCGTCCTCTGATTTATACACCGTCGGGCGGTTATCAGGACGAATACCGACTGCCACAATTCTTATAAGAAAATTATGGAAAAACAGTGTGAAAAAAATTACAAATCATAACATCTGAAACATGTTTATCAAAATAGTAAGAGATATGTCGTTAATTAGTTAATTGTTATTTATAAATGGGAAAAGGTACCATATACACTAAGAAAGTTTGTGATTTATTAAGTCTACAATTTAAACTGATATGTTATTCTAAAATTTGCTGAAAACTGAAATATATGAATATACACACTTTCCAAAAGCATAACTAACAAGCCTAATCCAACAGTTTCCGTTTGGATTGTATTAACATTATGTACTAATAAATAATCTATGAATTAGAGAATATATATGGTGTGTTGTACGCTACTTATGCGGACAGATATAAGTAGTGTTTAGTAGGAATTGGAGTTAAAATGTTAACCAGAAGAAAACTGAAATAGAGAGAAGAGGATGGAAAGAAGAGAGCTATCGGAATAGCAACAGGATTGAGAGGATGATGGAGTACAAATAATGTATTTAATGTATCTACTTCATATTCTACAAATGCATTGTGTGCTTTTGTATAAAATAATAAACTGGTTTACCGTATTTGAGTTTCCGTCCACTACGATAGCACTTTTAAACATTACTTTATTCATCCAATTAAATTATATATACATATGTCAGTAGGTGTAGTGAGTAACATTTTTAAGTGATGCACAGATTATTGTGAATCCGTAAATGTCAAATAAGCACAATTATACTACGATTTATTGAGGTCAAACATTTAGATGAACCTGTCTGTGAGTGTTCTCTTTTAAACTCAAAATTTGTGTGTAATCATACCACTTTTTTATGGTATACCTGTCAATTGTCTAATTATTGGTTTCAGAAGTATTTATGGATATTTTCTTCTCGTATTTAAATAACATTCAGTTTGAGTCATTCTCATATTCTGGTTTCTCTTTCAGATAAAGTCAGATAGTTGAATGTGTATATTCAATAACTGGATAAATGATGTTTTCATATGAAATAAAAACGTTCACAATACGATCTCATCATTCTATTCAAATGAAAAGGTTAATATTGAATTGTTTGCTAATTTTGTCAGTCCTCATGCTGTATTGTCTACTATATTCGTTCATTGGAGTCAGCAATGATTTAAATCAGTTTCAGGCAGAAAAATACAGTGAAGTTAAAAGAATTTGTGAATATTTGCTCACAACCAAAGGTGTGAATCCCAATAATGGAGTTTTTGAAAGTATTCAGTCAAATCCGGACCAAAGCTCTGTATTTATCAAATCCTCAAAAATGTGAAGAGTTTAAATTGTTCCATGGTCATGTCATTCAATCCTCAATTGAAGAAAAACTATTTCCTTTAGCATTCAGTTTATCTGTTCATCAAAACATTAAACAAGTATCACGTCTACTTCGACTGATATACAGACCACATAATTTGTATTGTATTCATGTAGATTCTAAATCCCCAATTGAATTTTATGATCAAGTGTTAGAGTTGGCCCGATGTTTTGGTTTAAATGTTATGGTGTTGAACCGGACAGAAAGTATAAATATTCAGTGGGGATATTATTCCTTACTTGAAGCGTTTCTTGTATGTGCGGACAAATTAATGAAAAACACAGACTATATGTGGAAATATCTATTGAATTTGAGTGGACAAGAATTACCTTTGAGGACAAACTGGGAGTTGGTTGCAGCATTGAAAGCAATAAACGGATCAAATGTCGTTGAAGGCTTAGGTCCAAATTTCTACCCTTGGCGTTGGCCTAAAAAGAATTTCTCATTTCCTGTAAGTTTCATAGTTAATATGATCTTGATAATGATTTTCTCTATTGGGAATTCATATAATAATAAAGTAAATACAGTTATGAACCATGCGTTGCATGTCTAGTTGGGGCAACCATAAAGAAGCCTTTATCATGATAAATCAAACTTGTAGAATTACAGTAAATGTAAATATGATTAAAATAGACAATATACAACATCTGTGTAATCAGATCTATGTTAACAGAAGTAACATAACAATTTGTAAAACAGTCTGAAATAAAACTACAATATTGAATCTACACATATACCTCTTGTATTTTCGAAGCTATTTTTTATAAATGCTTTTGATTGTTTTGATTGTTTTAATTATGCAATCCATAATGTTGCAGTCAGTAATCTACTGAGCATTTGGTGAAAACCATCAGTATCATACGAATACCACTAATCTTTATAATATTGAACTCGATGCATAATTTTTTGCTTGATTTCCAGTTAATATAGTCACTATAGTCTATTCGAGGTTATATTCCTGAATGAAGTGATGTAAATCACTAGAGATAGAGATTAACATGCAACTAAGTTTCGCTTGATTAGGTAGTACATTTTGCACACTTCAAATAACAATTACATCTATTAAATAAAATGAATCAGTGTTATGAAAAGCCAATTAGATTTAATGACTATCGATTGATTACCGCAACTCTTATCTTGAAAAAGTTAATATAATACTCATAACATATTATGATGATTAGGAGTATTTGAATTATAGTATGAACTAATAATCCCAAAAATAACGTCATCAGATCAAGAAGTACTAGATAACCACAAAAGAATGTACCGTATTTAGAATTCGAAATCAAGCATTCAACAAGTACAAAGGAATCATTAGTTCATTCAAACACCACATCCGCCACAGCTTAAATTGAAGTTTAAGTGTCTGTAATCGATTGTACGTTTTCTTAAGTTCATCCTGTGTCTGTCCGACACTGTATTGGATAAGGAATCTGTATTATCTAGAATGTGCTAATTAGCATTGGAATTAACAACCGAAATCGGAACAGACTTACTTGGTTCCTGGGATTGTATACAACCTCCATGTCGGTTGTGTACCGAAACCACTATCTAGAATTTAAAGCACAGATTTCCCAACACTATCTTCCTCCGTGAAATAATGGTGGATCTTTATATCCCCAAGTTATGAATGATATGGCTTCATTTAAAACATATTTCTCACATTGACTCGAGTAAACATTAGAAGTGTTTTGTGATAAGGATAAACAGTAGTTGATATGAAATCATCCGAATTGTAATCAAAATCGAGCTCTTTTAGTGCTAGTGCTTAGCACTGAACAATTTTCCCACAAGAAACAAATGCATTATGAGGACAAATAATATTTAATAGAACATAAAGTTTTGATTCTTCTGAAATAGTTTCCTCGAATTTATTAAGAATGTCATTGCAGAGCAAAGGATCATTAGAAAAATCAGCATCCATCACAACTAAATCAGGTTTTTGATCATAATTATGTTCACTCAACATATTTACTTCAGATTTGCAAGAGATTTCGTCAGAAATAGGTGAATCATTAGGAAAAACCATATTTGGAAGAATAACATGAGAAATCTGATAAATCGTTTGGTTAGAAACTGTTGTCTCGCAAGAATTCTGAGTTTCACTTAACTCTGAACTGCTATATGACTCTACACTGTCTATTGCAATCGTTGATAAAGATAAATGATCATTATAAATACTCAAATTAATAGAATCAGAATTACAATACTTAATATTAGTTGCAGCAAGATGAACAGTAGTATTACAAACTGACTGAATATTTCCAACATCGCCACATTAAAAGCACATAGAATCACGAAATTGACATGAATTCAAAGAGTGGAACTTGTCACCGGACAAATACTGATCAAACTTGTGCCCATCTTCGTAAACTGAATCACAACTCCTCAATGAATTATCTGCATAACCTTGAGTATGCACTGGGTTGGGATGACATAATGCAGTGGAATTTTTTATATCCTCATGAGTCATTTTATGAGATCTTCCTCCTTTACTGAATTCGAAAATTGTATACTTAACATAGTCTAGCAGTAGATCCTTAAGAGTTGTATAAGGAAGCGAAATGGGCTTTTCCGGTAAAGCCAGAGTTTTTAATAAGCTATATGCTTCTTTTCCGATGAATGTGAGGAATTGTGCCACAACATTACCATCCCCCACCATCTTTCTTGGTCATATTCCAGATTTCGAACCTTTCAAATAGTCCTCAAAAGCTTCAGCAGTTGAATGAATATCTAACTGTTCCATCGCAGGCTCCATCGCAAACCCAATGTGATAAATAGGAGTATTTGAATTATAGTATGAACTAATAATCCCAAAAATAACGTAATCGGATCAAGAAGTACTAGATAACCACAAAAGAATGTACCGTATTTAGAATTCGAAATCAAGCATTCAACAAGTACAAAGGAATCATTAGTTCATTCAAACACCACACTTATTCAAATCACTTTTTGTTCAAATTACTTGAAGGCTATCGAAATACCAGAATTCACAGTAAAGTTGGGTTTAAAACTATACTCAATCAACTTTTAGCCTGATATGAAAAGTTTTTGTAATGAATAGATCGTTGTGTGGCTTTGTTCGTATATAAATATACATGTATAAATATACATTATCTCTAGAACCATTTGTCTTTCCTAGATTATTTGGACCAAGGGAAGTTTTTACATGGCATTAAAGCGCGAGTTTGTTCACTTCTATCAAACTGATCAAAAAGCAAACGAAATTCTCAATGCGATGAAAGAAGAAAGACACTTAGTAAAACATCCAGATGAACTATTTTTTCCTACACTAACTCATAGTCCACTGCTTGGTGCCCCTGGTGCTTGTAATGAAATTCATGTTGCTAATCATTCAGATCCACGGAAAATTTTCATAGCTCGTTATGTAACATGGTATCATGAAGGTTGCAAAAGTCCAAGGGTGCGCCGTATTGTTTGCATTATAGGAATAAACAACCTTCCGTACATAACGTCACGAGTTGAATTCTTCGCCAATAAGTTTCATGATGATTTTGAACCGCTTGCATATGACTGCACAGAGTATTATATCATGAAGAAAGTTTTAAACGAGATGACAAGTAAACAATTAGATCCAAGTTTCAATCTCACACATTACTCTATATTGCATTGTTCACAAAATCATATCTAATTTCACAAAACGCTTAATTGATCATCACAATCAACTTATGTTCACTTTCATTTGTTCATGTTGATTCATTTTAATAGTTCAGATTTTACTTATTTTTGAAAACGCTATTAATTGTAAAACCCCCGACAGAGAATAACAGTCTTATAAAATGATTATTGTAAGTGATAATTTTACTTGAAAACTGTTGTAAAAATATCACAGTTTTCTTTTCCCGTTTTTAACCTTTCACCGTTATCTACTAAAACAGTTTGGCATATGTCCTGTTTATCCACTTCTCTTGAGGCAACTGGATAATATCATTGAACATCATAAAAGTTGTGCTTTAAATTCTAGATAGTGGTTTCGGTACACAACCGACATGGAGGTTGTATACAATCCCAGGAACCAAGTAAGTCTGTTCCGATTTCGGTTGTTAATTCCAATGCTAATTAGCACATTCTAGATAATACAGATTCCTTATCCAATACAGTGTCGGACAGACACAGGATGAACTTAAGAAAACGTACAATCGGTTACAGACACTTAAACTTCAATTTAAGCTGTGGCGGATGTGGTGTTTGAATGAACTAATGATTCCTTTGTACTTGTTGAATGCTTGATTTCGAATTCTAAATACGGTACATTCTTTTGTGGTTATCTAGTACTTCTTGATCTGATGACGTTATTTTTGGGATTATTAGTTCATACTATAATTCAAATACTCCTAATCATCATAATATGTTATGAGTATTATATTAACTTTTTCAAGATAAGAGTTGCGGTAATCAATCGATAGTCATTAAATCTAATTGGCTTTTCATAACACTGATTCATTTTATTTAATAGATGTAATTGTTATTTGAAGTGTGCAAAATGTACTACCTAATCAAGCGAAACTTAGTTGCATGTTAATCTCTATCTCTAGTGATTTACATCACTTCATTCAGGAATATAACCTCGAATAGACTATAGTGACTATATTAACTGGAAATCAAGCAAAAAATTATGCATCGAGTTCAATATTATAAAGATTAGTGGTATTCGTATGATACTGATGGTTTTCACCAAATGCTCAGTAGATTACTGACTGCAACATTATGGATTGCATAATTAAAACAATCAAAACAATCAAAAGCATTTATAAAAAATAGCTTCGAAAATACAAGAGGTATATGTGTAGATTCAATATTGTAGTTTTATTTCAGACTGTTTTACAAATTGTTATGTTACTTCTGTTAACATAGATCTGATTACACAGATGTTGTATATTGTCTATTTTAATCATATTTACATTTACTGTAATTCTACAAGTTTGATTTATCATGATAAAGGCTTCTTTATGGTTGCCCCAACTAGACATGCAACGCATGGTTCATAACTGTATTTACTTTATTATTATATGAATTCCCAATAGAGAAAATCATTATCAAGATCATATTAACTATGAAACTTACAGGAAATGAGAAATTCTTTTTAGGCCAACGCCAAGGGTAGAAATTTGGACCTAAGCCTTCAACGACATTTGATCCGTTTATTGCTTTCAATGCTGCAACCAACTCCCAGTTTGTCCTCAAAGGTAATTCTTGTCCACTCAAATTCAATAGATATTTCCACATATAGTCTGTGTTTTTCATTAATTTGTCCGCACATACAAGAAACGCTTCAAGTAAGGAATAATATCCCCACTGAATATTTATACTTTCTGTCCGGTTCAACACCATAACATTTAAACCAAAACATCGGGCCAACTCTAACACTTGATCATAAAATTCAATTGGGGATTTAGAATCTACATGAATACAATACAAATTATGTGGTCTGTATATCAGTCGAAGTAGACGTGATACTTGTTTAATGTTTTGATGAACAGATAAACTGAATGCTAAAGGAAATAGTTTTTCTTCAATTGAGGATTGAATGACATGACCATGGAACAATTTAAACTCTTCACATTTTTGAGGATTTGATAAATACAGAGCTTTGGTCCGGATTTGACTGAATACTTTCAAAAACTCCATTATTGGGATTCACACCTTTGGTTGTGAGCAAATATTCACAAATTCTTTTAACTTCACTGTATTTTTCTGCCTGAAACTGATTTAAATCATTGCTGACTCCAATGAACGAATATAGTAGACAATACAGCATGAGGACTGACAAAATTAGCAAACAATTCAATATTAACCTTTTCATTTGAATAGAATGATGAGATCGTATTGTGAACGTTTTTATTTCATATGAAAACATCATTTATCCAGTTATTGAATATACACATTCAACTATCTGACTTTATCTGAAAGAGAAACCAGAATATGAGAATGACTCAAATTGAATGTTATTTAAATACGAGAAGAAAATATCCATAAATACTTCTGAAACCAATAATTAGACAATTGACAGGTATACCATAAAAAAGTGGTATGATTACACACAAATTTTGAGTTTAAAAGAGAACACTCACAGACAGGTTCATCTAAATGTTTGACCTCAATAAATCGTAGTATAATTGTGCTTATTTGACATTTACGGATTCACAATAATCTGTGCATCACTTAAAAATGTTACTCACTACACCTACTGACATATGTATATATAATTTAATTGGATGAATAAAGTAATGTTTAAAAGTGCTATCGTAGTGGACGGAAACTCAAATACGGTAAACCAGTTTATTATTTTATACAAAAGCACACAATGCATTTGTAGAATATGAAGTAGATACATTAAATACATTATTTGTACTCCATCATCCTCTCAATCCTGTTGCTATTCCGATAGCTCTCTTCTTTCCATCCTCTTCTCTCTATTTCAGTCTTCTTCTGGTTAACATTTTAACTCCAATTCCTACTAAACACTACTTATATCTGTCCGCATAAGTAGCGTACAACACACCATATATATTCTCTAATTCATAGATTATTTATTAGTACATAATGTTAATACAATCCAAACGGAAACTGTTGGATTAGGCTTGTTAGTTATGCTTTTGGAAAGTGTGTATATTCATATATTTCAGTTTTCAGCAAATTTTAGAATAACATATCAGTTTAAATTGTAGACTTAATAAATCACAAACTTTCTTAGTGTATATGGTACCTTTTCCCATTTATAAATAACAATTAACTAATTAACGACATATCTCTTACTATTTTGATAAACATGTTTCAGATGTTATGATTTGTAATTTTTTTCACACTGTTTTTCCATAATTTTCTTATAAGAATTGTGGCAGTCGGTATTCGTCCTGATAACCGCCCGACGGTGTATAAATCAGAGGACGAATATGAAGCATTCATTACGTTTATTGTTGCACCACACACAGATCACCAAAACCACAGGCACGCGAATCAAGAATGATATGCGAGTGCCGAAGAGCAGGCGAACAAGTGAGCTAGTGAGTCAATGAACATTATTAAAATGTACACATATGTACATATAAAAAATGAATAAGTCATCGGATCATTTAAGCGACTAACACTAAAGCTAGTAGAATGAATATGTGCTTAGTCGGTAAGCGATGCTCAAGCATACGTGTTCATACAGGCGCAACAATAATAGAAGTACAATGGTATAAATAAGTTTTTGTTGTTGTTTTTGTACGTGTGACTCTGTTAAATAAATTAATGAGAATGCGTAACCAAATTAAATGTAAACAAACTCAAATGTGTGTAATCTGCTATAGTATACATTATATGTAAATGATCATCTTAAATAACAATCTATTACTGGTGTTAGCTTCTGTTGTTTGAAATAAAGGTTAAAGAAAATAATGAATTTCACAGATTCTTATAAATTTATAACTCAGATAATTAAAGTAAACAATTTGTTATTGTCAGTTGATAAACAGTGAATAAAGAATATTGATTATTTTCAGTTTATTTCTTTGATATATAAACTGTTCTACGCGATTCCTCCATTCGATGAAATGATTATTGTATGATAAATACTAATGAATAACAATCCCTTTCCTGAATTAAATCTTTTGAACATGATAGTCGAATAGCATAGATCTTTTATGTTAATTTAGATATTAGACACAGGAACATTCTAGACTGTATTGGAATATTTTTCAGATACATCTATTATTTTCAAATTACAAAATGTAAGGTGGTTATGGTACAATTGTCAATAGTGTGTTTTATATTTTATTTGTAATTCAGAATAATCAGGAAGGGGGTTTTGTGGAGATTGTAGTAATTTAGTACTTGAACTCATGAGTCAATTAAAGCTAGACCACCTCCATGGAAAACCTGGAAGTACTGGACGGCCGTTTCGTCGTAGTATGGGACTCCTCAACATCACATTAGAGTTTGATCACTAACATACTGTCACCATTCTCAGTGATGTTCGTTTTAACTTTTATTACCCATCTTATTTGTAGCATAATCTATTTAAGTAATTTAGTAATCTAATATTATTTTTACATCTGTCTTACTAATTACTCATTATTATTTCTAAAAACAACGTCAAATGTTCATATTTCGATTTCAATCTTACTCAACTGCTATTCTTGTTCTTAAGTAATCACTTGTAATAAGTAAACGATTATGTAACGTTGTTTCAGCCTTAATTTTATATTTGTTAAACTAATAGTATTGAGATACATTGGTAAATTGATTCTTCACTATTTATTTAGTATTGATTTTTCACTAGATCTTAAAACCTATATATCAGTGTAGAGCGATTAGAATGAACAAATTGAAGCGAAATATTTCTCCACTCAACTTTTAACGATTCTCATTATGCTTATATCTCATTTTTGTACTAAATCTGCCGGTAGAAAAGTACAGTTAAGAATGTAAATAAGTATCTTGTCTTTCGGATGTACACATACAATTTCAATTCATTGAATTTATAGAAAAAATAAAGGGCTTAGTACAATTAAAATAATTACGAAATAGCGTAACTAGTATAGATTTAAAGAGAGAAATCTATATAATATCCACTAAACAGGAAAAATACTACTTGTAGATGCTTAATATACTACTCATTAAAGCAAAAGTAGTAATAATATGAATAAGACAATAATCTTCAAAAAATGATTTAGTAAATATTTAAAATTTACGTAAGTTGACTCGCCAAGCTCATGTTGGTTTGTCTTTAGTAGCTGAGGTTGTCGAATGACAACAGATAAACGCCGTCTATCAGGTGGAAATTCCAGATCACAAAGTTCTCCCATCACTTGAGGATAAATATTTGGATGATATTCTGAATAAGGCAAATAGGTGTTGGCATTCCTCACACTCCCTAAATTCACCCAGACAAGACATCCTCGTCCCGACAATGCACGTACATGATTCCCCAGCATCGTATCGGGTTGCTTGAAATTGCACGCGAACAAACATTTCAAATTGTTGTGAATGAACAGAAGCATTCGCGTAACCAGTTTTATGACTAGAGTTAATGGATCAACGATTCTCTTCAGTATTCTGTTTTAAGTGACAAGAATAGTTAGTGAGTTGGTCAATGTAGGCATCTCTTTGAAGAACCAGTATCACGGATATTTCGAAGGTTGTGTAGCGGTAAATAAATCCCTAACATCAATAGCTCTGTAAGTCTTCGACATTTGATGCTGACCACATTGGGGTTAGTGGACTCACCTAGCTGTAGGCTCTCGGTCATGTATCCACACCAGATCACGAGTGAGTACGCCATGCTTCACTTCCCCTACAACCACTATCCAGCATAGACTAGTCACTTCTCGATATGTCGATATTCTATGAAATATATCTTCGAGCCTCCTCGCTAGTGACTCCCGATTTCACTGGTTTGGCACGTTTCGATTATGAAAGATGTTACTGGTCAAGGTGTTTTCAAACTCCGAATACTTGTAGCATCTTTAGTGATGAGCCTAACGTGATCTGGTATACCTATTCATAAACTATGAGTCTGTTCCTCTTTGGGACTTTATGTATCAATATGTTACTTTAATCTCTATATATTGTGATACATACTTTAAATTTATCATAACCGAACAGACTACCGAATTATTTAATATCAAGTTTCTTACACCACCCTCATTTAAGCTAATACCATTCTGGCCCGACAATACTGAAGCCTGGTTCTGCTACTCAAAAGCTGACTTCTATAGCGACTCACGTGTTAATGGGTTTATTTTCATTTAACCCAGTTAAGCCCTTTTTGTTAACTTATTTAGGAGACAAAGCCATCCGCGCTATAGCAATGTATTGTATCCTTATTATTATTTTGAGCTTGTATGAAATACGTATGCTTGAATATTGATTACTGCCTACGCATTTATTCACTCTGCTAATCTTACCACTAACCGCTTATTCGATTCGATTACTCATTCATTTCACATGGTATATATATGTCCATGTTATTCATATTGAACTCACAATCGCTCACTCGCTCGTACGGTCTCGTCACGCTCTTGCTCTGGCTCTGGCTCTCGTTCGCTTGCTTGCCTTTCGGCACAACTCTCCTATGCTTGTTTAACACATCTGTACATTTGGATATATGTGTGTGGTTTCGCAATAAACGTAATCGACACTTCGTATTTGCCTTCTGATTAATATACCGTTGGTACGTTATATAGAACGGTTATCGCGACGAACTGTATACGAAGTTTAAGGATTATATCAAATAGCGACCACCACATAATTGGCGATCCCGACGCGCGAACACAAAACAATCTTGAACGGCGTAATCCAATTCCTAAAATCCAACGTATTCGATTACAATTGTAACTATCATTTGGATTATAATTATAACTGTGGATTTATTATCTCATTATTTTAATTATACGTACATTATCTCACGAACATTATTGAACATAACGATAATATTCATAATAAACAACGATATTTTTACAAACAATTGATATTTTGGTGCAATTTAGTAAGTCCGTTCTTTGTTATAAATTGTACCATTTGTTTTTATCATTGTTTTTATCGACTCACTTTTCTCTGTGACATTCGCATTATATTCGTGTACTTTTGATCTTTATAAATATGTCTTTAAGTAACGATACAATAGAACTTTCCAAAACGCCGTCCGTGAGGTCCATTAATGTAACTATTCCTCCTTTTAAGGTCACAGATCCTCAACTTTGGTTTACCAGACTTGAACATTACTTTGTAGCTAATCGTGTTCATACACAGCGAGATAAATTTGGCCACGCGAGCTCGCTACTTCCAGATGAAGTAGCAGATAATGTACGAGAGATTTTAATCAAGCCAGACATAGAAAAGCCATACGACGCATTAAAACAGGCAGTGATTTAAGCCGTCTCATTAAGCGACCGGCAAGCCATCGAACAGCTTCTCAGTCAAGTGCAGATAGGAGATAGGACTCCATCGCAGTTAAAAAACCATATGTGAAGCGTAATCGGAGA